GATGCATAATGATGGAATAATGGTAGGACTAGGCAAGGAATGACTGTATTCTCCTCAGGGCACAGATGACCTCAGCAGGTTTGGAAATTAAGAAAAGGAGGTTGGCCCTGTTAAACTGGCGAAGAAACTATTTCTCTAATCTGTGAGATCCTCTCGTGGGACTGAAACACAGCAGTCGCCACCAGCAGGCCAGCATGTAAAACGGGGGAACAAGGTAGACGCAAATCTGTTAAAAAGCGGACAGATCGAATACAGCGGACATCAGTAACCAGAAACGTTCTGCTAACGGTGACTAAACGGCTCATAGTGACGACCTCAACAAACAATCTTATCAACGCTGCATGTTGCATGGCAATAATCTGACACACAGAGCTGTTAATAACACCTGAGCCCAGACGGCGATGATAAAAAATCACACAAGAACTGGAATGAAAATCAAAAATATCGGCTTGGGAAACATTTTGGGGACCATCAAGCTATTAGTGCGTCATCATACGGATGAAAGATACATTTTGCTGGTCACATGTTCAAGTAGCATGGACAGCTGGCCTGCCGAAATGCCATTTCTCGAAGCACTTACGAGTACGGGGTGCAATACGGAATAAACTTAAGGGAGGCGTGACGCAGAATCAACCGTTTCCTGTACGTGCTCAGCGGACCACCGATACACGAACAGAACTTTTCACTGACAGTAAGTAATCAATCAGGAGAAATGAATGAACGTGCAGTCGTTTGCACGATCGTCACGAGGGCATAACACCGCTAAACGACGCTTTATTACCGAGCACTTTAAACACAATAAAAAATAGTAGAAAAAGACACGCAGTGACGCGGAGAGTGGAGAGCCCGGTGCGCTGTTTAAAGTAGTTTTACGAGCATCTGACGACGGTCGCGTGAGACCTCGGTTCACTCGACGAAGTTGATCGATTTGACCACCGGAAATGAAAAGAGCAGGCGACTAGGGCATCGTCGATTCACCGGTCCCTGGACAGAACTGGGGTG